GGCGGCGAGGTGGGGAGCAAGGCGGGAAGGGGGTGGCGGCGCTCGATCTAGGGTTCCCCCGCCGCCGCAAGTGCAATTGGAGTTGCTCTTAATAGTTGCAAAGCGTGGGATATATGATGGCTCGGTGTCCTCCAGTTTCAAAAGTTAGGGGTATAAGTTGTCTGGTTTTAAAGTTAAAGGACTAAATATAGAGTTCACCCAGAGTTGAGAGATGAAAAATATACTTTACTAAAATGAAATCCGCAAGTCAACGAAGAAGAGTGAAAACACATGTGCAAAAGTCGCTGAAACCAGATGTGAAAGCGAGTTATATTTGACTTGGTTGCCACCTCCCAGCAGTGATAATCGTTGTCCTGACTCGTGTTGCAACCTCCAGTAGTTAGCCAAGTCAGACCAGACCATTGTGCGGGTCTTTTCAAAGTTTTCGTGTTTGCCACCAATAAGTGTGTGTATTTCTAGTTTTTCTTTTCAAAACGTTCGATCATAATGTTTGTATTTTTTTTCTCAAGAGTACTTTGACAAGTTGAGCAAGACTTCTAGCCATGTGTTCCTTCAGACTACCGTCCATCAAGATGAAAACGACTAAATGGAGAAAATCACAATGTTACTTGGGAAAACATATACAAATGTTGCTTTCTGAGAGATCCGAACAGCAAGTACATCATGTACGGAACCATACGCTCCACTGGTGATTACTATTTTGGTAGTCTTTTCTTCTTTTGAACTTTGATTACTCTTTTAGTTTTACTACCCCACAACCCTGATGAGAGTTCTTGTTCCTGCGATTGTCAGTTGCCATTTCCCTCTCCTCGCCGTGCTTATTTCAACACCTGCACCCATCACGATCCAAACCCTCACGTTTCTCTCGCGTCCCCTCCCCTCGTCCCAGCTCCCAAAGCAAGCAACCGAGCAGCGAGCGACCAACCAAACAGAAAGAGACAGCCCGAAGCAGGGGCCGGCCATCCATTGACCTACTAACTACGCAATCCAATATCCAAATCCCGTACCCTGAACCAGAAGCAGCCGCGTCTTCTTCCTCCCAACCCCATGTGGGGGAGGCTCAGCTAGGTGGCTTTTGCCCAGGTGAGCAGGAAACGACCCGTCCCGTGAAGAGAGCTTCGTGTCTTTCATTTCAACTTCTCTTGGGTTGGTTTTGGAGAAGAAGGTTGAGCAGTTGGTTGGTCGGTTGTTGGCTTGAAAGATCTTGCGATTTCTGTCTGGCTGATCGTCTCCATGGGTGTGTGTTCTGGTCCTGGTGGCTTCCTTTCGTCGACCGTCCTTGTTTAGATTGGTGCGTCTTTTGCATTAGTAATTGATTGATCCAGTAGGATCTCATCTTTATTTGAAAAGTGCCAATCTCTTTTGCCTCTTCTGAAACCCCGTTAGTTTTCTTCTTTTGACGCCTTCAAGGTTTCTCTCCCTCCCTCCTTCTGGTTGTACTAGAATAATGGCGCTGCTTTCTGCACCTGGTCTTCTTCACAATCCGTGCTTCCAAGATCCGAGAGCTTGCCTTTACCGCCGTCTGAAACTGATTACTATAGTAGCTGAAGGCTGCACCTTTGATGCTGTCATGTTATTGCAGAGCAGGAGGGGGTCAAAGCAGAAGAAGCGCGATGCAGTGCTTCCGGTTCGCGAGCTGGGACAAGGAGCGGGACAAGGAGGAGCTGCAGGTGCCTGCACGGTCTCAGTCGGCGCGTTCCAACAGCAGCATCTCCACGGACCATGACGCACGGCGGTCGGGCTCAGAGTGCTGCTCGCTCACCGTCTCGTCCGAGATCAGCGTCGAGTCCTTTGGCCGGTACCGGCAGCTGTCGCTGCCGCAGCGGCCCAACAATGACCTCCGCATCTTCACCTTCCAGGAGCTCAAGAGCGCCACCCGGAGCTTCAGCCGTGCACTCATGATCGGCGAGGGCGGTTTTGGCTGCGTCTACCGCGGCACCATCCGGAGCACCCTCGAGCCGCGCCGAAGCCTCGATGTCGCCATCAAGCAGCTCGGACGCAAAGGCCTCCAGGTGACATTCTCTTCTTTTCCGCATGCATTGCTTCCAGCTCCACCCAACTTAGCATAAACATGGTGTCAGAGCTCATCCATGGCGGTGATCCGATCATCCACCCGAAAAACCATCCATAATCTGGATGGCTTGATGCAGATGATAACACCAATGTTTTGATTCGTCATCCAGGGACATAAGGAATGGGTGACCGAGGTGAACTTTCTTGGGGTGGTGGGTCATCCCAACCTGGTGAAGCTCATCGGCTACTGCGCAGAGGACGACGAGAGGGGGATTCAGTTGCTGCTCGTCTACGAATTCATGCCTCACGGAAGCCTAGCTGATCACCTGTCAACAAGATCACCAAAGCCCGCTTCATGGGCAATGAGGCTGAGAGTAGCACTCGACACTGCTCGTGGTCTCAAGTACCTGCACGAAGATTCCGAATTCAAGGTAAGCATCGTCATAGGCATGCGGCAACTCATTCAAATGCTATGATTGATTGGTGAAAGATAAGATCATAGAAGCATGACCTATTTTGGAGTCTCTTGCCTTTTACCCAGTCCTGATATCATCTGCCATATATGAATATGTTCTTCCAGATAATATTCCGTGATCTGAAGCCTTCAAACATCCTGCTCGACGAGAACTGGAACGCAAAACTGTCGGACTTCGGCTTGGCTAGACTGGGGCCGCAAGAGGGAAGCCATGTTTCAACAGCGGTATGTAACGAGCCCATCTTCATTGTCCAGCACCTGATGGGTGATGGCACTATTCTCAATTCCATGGCGCAATGCTGACATATTGAATAGCATACTGTGACTTTCAGAGGTAGCTTTGCAAGTTCACCCAAGTATGATCGGTTCAGTAGGTACTTGGTAGTCAGTAGCAAGAATAGTTCATATTGTGGCCTTCCGTACTTGTCAGACAAACCCAAAACCAGGAGTGGTTAAAAGAAAACTCCTCCACGTGAATGGATGCTTAGCAGTCAGCAAGTACTTCCAAAAGATTATTGGCCTGTGAAATAAGAAATGGACAATACCATCATCCTAGATACACAAGCAGAACAAAGGTAGGCAGTTAGGCACTTCCGGGTTAGTTAACATGCTAGTGTAGGAAGACCGGTTAGGAAAGTCAGCTAACCCTGCTGGTTGGTTAAAATCAACTAACTTTTCTGGCTGATTTCCAATTGTAGCATTTTATCACATGTGATGACAAATTTGCAAGTAAAAGTAGCCTCTGTTTGCAGCTTAACTCTGATACCTGACATTTGTTACCTATAAAAAGTTAAATTTCTCTTTTCATTTGACATACCAAACAGGTGGTGGGTACTATAGGGTATGCAGCTCCTGAGTATATCCATACAGGACGCCTCAGCAGTAAGAATGACATATGGAGCTATGGAGTGGTTCTCTACGAGCTCCTCACAGGCCGGAGGCCTCTGGACCGGAACAGACCGAGGGGTGAACAGAACCTTGTGGAATGGGTGAAGCCCTACTCCTCCGACACCAAGAAGTTTGAAACCATAATGGATCCAAGGCTCGAAGGGAACTACAGCATGAAGTCGGCAGTCAGGATTGCCTCGCTGGCAAACAAGTGCCTGGTGCGCCATGCAAGGTATAGACCTAAGATGAGCGAGGTGCTGGAGATGGTGCAGAAGATTGTCGATAGCAGTGACCTTGGAACACCAGAGCATCCCCTGATAAGCCATTCAAAAGAATTGGCTAGTGATGAGAAAAAAAGGAAAGGCCTTGATCTGAAGAGGAGGATCGCTGGTATTAAAGCTGGAGATGGTAGATGGCTTACATGGCACAAGTGGACACCCAAGCTTGTGAGAACACAATGACTCAAAATATGGATGAGATGTTCCTCTTTATGACTTTGACATCCAGAGATATTAGCAAAAACAGCAACGGCTGAAATGCCACTTGAGTTGCTGTTTACCATACAATTCAGAGAACATGATAACTAAAAACAGGAGATTTGGCAAGCGGCAAGCCTAATGCTATCATCACTAAATAATGGCTATGCCTGGGTTTGTGAGGTCACGCACAGGCAGTGTCCACTTGCCACATAGTTCGGCATTACATGTTTTCACAAGAGCTGGAAAATCAAAACTGAAGAAGTCCTTTTTGAAGTAGAAATATTGGTGTACAGTTTAACATGGAATTCGCATTTTTGCTGACTGAATTTTGAATTGTTTCTAGTGCCAAATAAGAATTTTAAGGAGGTGCATGTAGCTTATTGGTTCCTGTGTTTGCAAGATTTGCACCCTGTATGCATCTCTCTGATGAACTTAATTATTTTTCTGCACTGACACAGCTGATATGTAAAGTTCCCTTTTCAGTACTAGATCAATTGGGAGGTAGAATTTGCCTGTGTATATCCATAAAAAATAGAATTAATGTGTTCTAACTTTTACAAAATTAAATTGATAATGTGAAGAGAGGTTATTATAAAACAAGAAAAAAAGGAGAAAATGTGGGGAAAAAGGTGGATTCACAGGTCATGTTATTTTGCTAACTGCTCTTTGTGTACTCTGTATTAAACAAAACATTGTTTCTTTAGTAAAGTACCATATGACTTTCAGGAAAATAATTTCACTATTCATAGCACAAATCGCATATGAAATATAGCATGCTCCGGATGTTTGGCCTGATAGAAATATATAACTAAGCAACACGAATTTTGGGAACCAAGATTAAAAAAATAAAATAGGAATAAGTGCAGTGTGGTTTCACCTTTGAGCGCTATACACAACCAGAGATCTCGTTAACGGGCAAAGCTCAGCACAGGCTACATACACAGTTCTGGCACATGATCCTAGCAATTGGTACATTTCTACAACTGCAGATTCTTGAGAAAAACTATGGCCAGTGTATCAATTTGTGAAGCATACTTGTAATGTATATTGATGAAATCTCTACGACATGGTTCAGCACCATCTGGCATAAATAGTCAGTGGTCTTTGGAATGTTCTTGCCCTTATCTATCTATCTGATGATCAATAATCCATACAAGCAGAAGCCATAGGTGAAACAGTTACTGAAGATGTTTGGTACTCTCTGATTGCTGTCCAGCAACAGAATGCACTTTTCCGCTGGCAGCTCAAAGAATCTCAAGACTATATGCACACGTCATACTTCTTCTATAGCTCTGCTTCCTGTAGCAGCGCACAAATGTATTTCATCTCCTCTTCAAATATCTGGCTCTTGATGGATCTCCACACAACTAGGTTATGTTTGGCAGTCAAATTTTCAACACAAACCAAGTCTGCATAAGTAACCAGAACCAAGAGCTACAATGAATTTCCCCTGATTCAGGCAGAATGCATGATCAGAATGCTGCAGAACTTACTTTTGAGAGATCCATTAGGCACCCATTGTCCTATCTGTATGTAAGAAGTACTCTGGAATGGCAACATCATCCTTCATTTTCATCTCCACCGTTATAAGATTAAGCAACGCATATATCTCTCTTGAGCCAGAATGAGCCTTGTCATGGGCAATAAACCTGTGGAGCCTTCCACCGACATCAATCTCGCTAAACCCAGGGATCTTTTTCACTCCTCTCTCCTCCATCACCTTTCTTGCTTTCTTTGCCTCTTGCCACCGCCTAGCAATAGCATAGATATTGGACAACCCAATGTACCTGCCATCATGATCTGGCTGCAATTGAACAAGCTGCCTGCCGACTACCTCCCCCAACTCTACCCATCCATGCAGATGGCATGCATTCAAGAGAGCACCAAGTACAGACACATTGGGTTCCATTGGCATACTCTTAACAACACCGTATGCTTCCTCCAAGCGGCCCGCTCGATCAAGCACATCTACAAGACAAGCATAGTGCTCAACATGTGGTCTGAGCCCTTGAGCTTCAAGTGAGTGAAATAACCTCCAGGCCTCACCCACTAGACCACCATGTACGCAAGCACTTAACAAACCAAGGTATGTGATCTCATCTGGGACAACACCAGAATGTTGCATCTCCTGGAAAATCTCCACCGACTCCATGCTCAACCCATGCACTGCAAGTCCACCAATCACAGCGTTCCATATCAGAACATCGGTGCTGGTCACTGGCACGACCCGAAACACCTCAAGCGCCTCGCTGATTGCCCCGCACTTGGCATACATGTCCACAAGAGAGGTGGCGAGCCTGAGGTTCAGCAGGAAGCCACGCTCCTGAAGGTACCGATGCATCTGCCTTCCCCGCCCAAGGTCCCCCAGATGAGCACACGCGCCTATCACACTGACCATTGTGACATCATTCGCTCTAACACCATTGCCAGCCCCCGTGGTCTCCATCATCTCAAACAACGCCAGCGCCTCACGATGCTCCCCGCACTTGACGCACCCGTCGATCATGGCGCTCCAGGAGACCACGTCCCGCTGGGGCATCCGGTCGAACACGCAGCGGGCGGAGAGGAGGTCGTGGCACTTGGCGTAGCCATCGAGAAGGGCATTCCAGGAAACAAGGTTCGGCCGCGGTATTTCGTCGAATAGGCGGCGGGCGAGGTCGGGGAGCGCGCAGGCCGCGTACATGTGGACGAGTGAATTCGCGACATAGATGTCCCAGGGGAGGAGCCCGAGCCGGAGCGGGTGCGCGTGGAGCGAGAGGGCGAGGCGCGGGGAGGCGAGGCGAGCGGCGGCGCGGCCAAGGAAGGGGAAGGTGAGGTGGGAGGGCCGCAGCGCGGAGCGGAGGAGGAGGAGGTAGAGGGAGAAGGAGTGGTGCGGGGTGGAGGGCGAGGAAGAGGTGGTGCGGATGAGGGGGTCGAGCAGCGGCGTGGAGAGGGTGCGGCCGTCGAGGCGGCGGAGGAGGTGCGGCGGGAGGAGGGGAAGCGGAGGCCGCATTCGTCTCAAACCGGAAGGAGGAGAGCAAGCGCGGGAATTGATCGAGCCGGCATTATTTTGCAACAACAACGTTTGGTCACTCCATTTCCTCACATGCGAGATCTGCTTTTAATGAAGTATAAAAACACTGTCCGTAGAAAATCCCTATCTCTACCACAGTTTCATGTTTCATTTTTGTTCCCATCATCCATTCGTCCAATCATCCTCCTATGATAAGGAAAAGCTTTCCTGTCAATCGGCTAATTACAGTCAGTGAGTCGACCGCCTCGGCTGCTCGACGCGTGTCCCCGTGATTCACACATCGTTGTTGAATCTTATCTCCTTAGGTGTTTGTCTCTATAAAATCTATCTCATTGCTCTTCTCTCTCAGCAGTCAATCATGTGTTTCTCAACAGCAGCCAATCTTCATTTTCTCCCTCCCGACCCTCATCTAGAGCCACCACCATCCAGCCATGCAACAGATGCGTGCATGATCTCTGCCCCGCCGGACAATAGATCCAACAATTGATCACGAAGGTCAATTGATGAAGATACCATCTTCCTTCACAACACACACACACACACACACACACACACACACATACGATATTCCTTTGAATGAACTACATTAGGCAAAGCTTTTATCTTCCAGCTCTCCAAGTTGTTATTTAAGCATAACCAACTAGCTCAAGGGTATCCAACACAAATTCTCGGAGAAGGCGTGGTTTAGAGGAAACTCAACTTGATCACGAACTCAAGATAACGGTCTGGGGACAACCTAGTAATACTTTCGAGAAGATATTCGGAAAATCACAAACCATCGATATGTTACTAAGCTCGAGAACAATCTTTCTTTTTAGGACCAAGATGATATGATCAAAGGAGTAAGGGATTGACACAATCCTAACTCACTGATAAAAGAGTGCACCATAAACATGAACTAGGTAGCACAATCAATTTTTGTGTGGTAATTCAATAATCGACATGCTAAAAATGAAATTATTGTCCATTAACCACCAAGCAATGGGGTTGCTAAGAGTATTGATTTCACACATCACAGTTCATTTGTTGGCATTCCGGTTACAACCAACACGGAGACCGAGGAATGAATGATGATGGCGAGACGTATCACTGTATCAAGAATTCATAAGATAGTGTGCAATTCCCATTATATTCTTGACATAAAGAAGGTAATACTCCAAGGTAGAACATAACAAAAGCTAGATTAATATTTTGATCTACGGAATACAACTACTTTAACCTAATCCTAGATATGGATGTACTGGAGTTTGTTTCTCCTAGTCATTCTGAAATAAAACTGTTTGACGGGTCACGGGAATAATAGGCACCGATGAACACAAATGCACAACTACTCATGACTATCAATTGATAGACGATGGTCGGAATACAACTGAAGAGGGACATCAAAGGAACACATGCTTTTTTGAGTTGTGGATGCATAGATTAACATGTCAAACAAAGTTCAACACATTTCTTCCGAATAATCCATGCAGAAAGGTCGGATTGGCAGTCACAAATATAGAATGGAGAACTCATCAAGAGCACTCTTGTTGTGATCTTTTGGTTCAATGAGAACTTCCGCCAAGGATGGTTCATGTTATTGGAAGAATGATATACCACGGACCTCGAAGGCTAGAACAAAGTTACTAAACATCCTAAAGGAGCAACAATAAGGGTGTGTTTGGTACTCCTCCAACTCCTAACTCCTCTAACTCCTGGCCAGGAGTCCAGCCGAACGGCTCCACTCCAGGATTTACGTGAGAGAAGCTGGCTAAAAACATAGTGCAAAATCTGTGGAGTTGTCTAGTTAGGAAATCACAGCTCCTCCAAAACTGGAATCGAGAGTTGATAGATAATTACCGGCCCCTACCACCGTCAAGTGAATTCTTGGCGTACCGGTTCGCTCCCAGTCATCTCTATTGTCGCGAATCATCTCTCCCATCGCGAGTCCCCCTCCTGTCCCCGACCAAGTTTATGGCCCAGCCCATCTTTTCCACACCTTTTGGACTGCCAGCCTGCTCCTGATGGGCCACAAAGGGGCGATTTTATGAGCTTTAGGTTCGCTCCCTTGTGCGAGTGATAAGCGGTGACATCTAACAGATCAGTATCTCCGGGATCGATCATGAGAAACTGGAGCTGGATTCCTACAGTTGGAGTTGAGGATTTATCGGCCACGGAGGGCTACCGAACACGCCCTAACTATCAATAGAAATGAGCAGGATGAATTAAGCCCGAGGTGACCAAATGAGGAGCTTGGCTTGATGAAGTGGTGACGCAGCACAGTCGATGCGGCAAGGCGAAGCCCCCGGTCCAGCTAATGATGACGAAGTTGGTCGGCATGTGATGCCGAAGTCCCCGGAGTAGGTTTATTAAGAGATGGCAAAGCCCATGTCAGCCGACGAGTCGAAGCAGGTCGACGTGTTGGATGTTGGCTTGAAGAAGAGGTGGCATGATGATGCCGACATAGGTTAAAAATTATGACGCGGTCGATGCCAGCTTGATGAAGTAACCGTGCAGCGATGATAGTGTGCCTGCCCCATGTAATCCATGGGGTGACGATGTTCTCTTGAGATTATTTGGCCCACGCGATGCCGAACTCTTGGTTGGCTCGCCAAAGTGATGATCCGATGAGGTTGAACTCGACTCAACAAAGTGCTGATCCAATGAGGTTGAACTCGGCAACCGTGGTGCAACATTGTCGGGCTGGTTTGACACCAACGCGACCGTGAAGATCGCCTCGGAAAAATATCAAAATTTGTGGGCACATGTTTTAGGAACAAAACACAATACTCTAGAAAAAGTTTCCTTGAAAAAGGATGTCCGATAACCCATTCATGAAAAAGATGAACTCGGGTCGGATTTGTTTTCGCGTGGAAAACAGATTCGAAAATTGATGCACTCGTTGGACGATTCCTGGAGTTTGAATGGTTGGGTCGAGCTAAAATTTTGAGGGGTGGTTGATATAGGAATCCCGCAGGTGATCAATGGTTGGATCTTCCCAAGGACGTTCGAGCTGGACGTTGAACTCCCCGCTCCAAACTCGTCCAGATTCCCATCTAGATTCGACACGGATCCGGTATATCGGAGATCGCCAGAGATTCCTCCATCGAAACATGGTGAAATTTTACAGGGTTGTTTTAGACCCAATTCCGCACAATTCCATTGAAGCAATCATCAAAGTGACGCTCGGGGAGGCAGGAACGGCGAACACAAATCCGTTGTCCAGAAAAAAACTATTGTCAATCTACAGGCGAGCCATCGATCTTTTCATTGATCTCACAGCGGAACTCTCAATGAAAGCACCAATGTTGGTGGTAAAACCAGTAGACATCTGGGTAGGGGTCCTGAGTTGTGGATCTCGGATCGATGGTAGAAGGAATGAAGGAGACGATGTTTACCCAGGTTCGGGCCCTCTCTATGGAGGTAAAACCCTACATCCTACTCTTGTTCATATTGATGATGATGTATCGAGTACAAGCTTGATCTACCTCGAGATCGTAAGGAGAGGCCTATCTATAGGGCTAGGCGAATGTAATTGTGTTGAGATCTAATGATCTAGAACATGATCTATCGACTAGCCTGGCCCCGGCTTATATAATGTACCAGCGGCCAAGGATAACAAGAGTCCTAGTCGAATACGCCGGTGGAGTGGAATCCTTGTCTTGATCAACAAGTCTTGTGAAATCTTCCTCGTATGTCATGGGCTGCCAAAAGTGGCCCATTAGTGAACCGCCATGGGGTCCTCGGCTAGACCCACCTGGTCGAGAGACGACGTGGTGAATACCCCCTAGTCCAGCACACCGTCATTTACCAAACACCTTTTTGCTCTTGTTTTGGACTCTAATTTGCATGATTTGAATGAAACTAACCCGGACTGATGTTGTTTTTAGCAGAACTGCCATGGTGTTACTTTTGTCCAGAAATAAAATTTCTCGGATTGGACTGAAAATTTACGGAGATTATTTCTAGAATATATATAAAATATTGGTGAAGGGAACTACTGGAGGGGGCCACCTAGGAGACACGACTCAGGGCATGCCCTGTGAGCTTGTGGGTCCCATAGGCCTCTGTTTGCCCTAATTCCAACTCCATAAGTACAGTCTTGCGAAGAAAAAAATCAGCAAGAAAGAATTGTCGCATTTTACGAGAAGGAGCCGTCGGTACCCCATGTTCTTCACCGGGAGGGCTAGGCTGAAGTCCTTTAGGGGCTCCGTAGAGGGGGATTCATCGTCGTGGTCATCATCAACCCTTCTCCAAAAACAATTCCATGATGCTCACCACCGGGAGTGAGTAATTTCTTCGTAGGCTTGTTGGACGGTGATGGAGTTGGATGAGATTTGTCATGTAATCGAGTCGATTTGTTAGGGCTTGATGACTAGTATCCACTATGTTCTGAGATTGATTTTGCTATGACTTTGCCATGCTTAATGATTGTCACTAGGGCTCGAGTGCCATGATTTCAGATCTGAACCCTCTATGTTTTCATGAATATATTTGAGTTCTTGATCCTATCTGCTAGTTATATGCACTTGTTATTTTTCTGATTCGTATGTTGTTGCTTCCTTTAGTGGTGTCATGTGAACATCGACTAAATGACACTTCACCATACTTGGGCCTGAGGGAAGTCATTATGGAGTAACAAGTAGATGATGGGTTGCTAGAGTGATAGAAGCTTAAACCCTAGTTTATGTGTTATTCCATAAGGGGCTGATTTGGATCCATATGTTTCATGCTATGGTTAGATTTATCTTAATTCTTCTTTCGTAGTTGCAGATGCTTGTGAGAGGGGGTAATCATAGGTGGGAGGTGATACGTCCATTTTGCATCATGCTTTTATATCGATATTTATTGCATTGTGGGCTGTTATTACACATTATGAGCATAATTGGTTTGCTGCCAAAAATTGGCATGCCAATGTTTGGCATTGTGCCAAATATTGGGAACTACTTGGTTGGCTACGAGTTGTTTTGTCTCTCTCACATAAAGTTGCCAATAGTTGG